CAACAAGATCTATGGTAGTTAAATCTACATTAATAGTTTGGTTGGCAATAGGAAATTAGCAAATGTGGCTTTTTTGTTTTTTATTGGGATTTTCAAATGTGGCTTTTTATTTTAGTGATGATAAATTATTTTATTTTTAAATAATAAATTGTTAAATCAGATGATTATGTTAAATGGTCAGATCTTTAATATTACTAAGAGATTCTTCATAAATATAATTAATTGATGTATAAAAGTGTTTTATTAAAGTTTCAAAAAAAGTGTTTTATCATTTTGTCATTTTATTTTTTTAAAATATCTACTGCAAATACTCTTTTAGTACCTTTAACTTTATATAATACTACTTTGTATTTATTATCTATTACGAAAAATAAAATAATATTAAAACCAAGAAAATAATTCAAAGCAATCTATTTTAATCCATGATTTATATACAAAACCGTGTCCATCCGGAGGTTCTCGTTCAATTTTAAGCCTTAAGTATAGTAGAAGGGGCAATTTTGATACATATAATAGTACAGGGGCCAAAATAAAGAATTTTATCATTAAAAAGAAAGAAAAAAAAGTCCGCGTACGAACTGTTGACTTTATGACCGATTGGTTGAGACGGGGCCACGGTGAATCCTGAGCCGTTTGATTTTAACTTAATTTTTGTCGTCTTTCCCTTTTATGTTTAGTCTTCTCCCGTTTTAAAATATGAACACCGTGTGGTTTTGAATAGCAAAAAACGGGGCCCATTTCTCAAGAGTGAGAACACACATGTCGTTTTCTTGTCGAGTTGGTATGTGTCATTGGCACCCAACAAGAGCGTAAAACCATAAGTCCCTTTTGCTTAATTACAAAATCCGGCCAAAAACTTCTTTTTCTTTTTCTTTTTTAAAAAACTAATGGTTTCTATCGGTTTAAAACATGTTAATTATTTATATATATATATGAGACCATAATATCGTTTTCAATAGAAGAAGCAAGTGATCTCTTACACCAAGTGAATTAGCTTCCTTTGGTTAATTAGATTTAAAATTTGTCGGTAAGGTGGGATATAAATTGATTATTACGCATTTATAAAATATAGGTAGCACACAATCTCTAGAACATTTCAATGTTTTCTAATCATGGTAGTTGAAGCTCATTAATTATCATATGCGAATTAACTTGAATAGTTATGTAAGTAAAGACAAACCTAATGGAGTATTCTCAATCATATGGGCAATACTTTGTTGTGGTTATCACATTTTATATATTCATATTTTCACATTATATATGATTTGATTGCAATGCAACAACTCTTAGTCACATTTAAAAGTTTGTTTTAATTTAATATCTAGAGAACAAAAGGGAGATGCATTCAAAAGTAATGCTAGTCACCCGAATAAATATACCAAAATAAGATGTTTTGAGTACTAACAAAGTAATAATTACATATTAGTACCATTACATTCCCAATGTCTTCTCACCAGCTTTTGTTTTTATGCAGTTCTTTTTTTTTTTTTATCCTATGTTTTTCATGGAAATATTTTAATGATTAAGCCACCAACCACGTTTCTTAATTTTTACATTTGGAATACCATTTTTAATATTGTATGCCTCTTGATTTTTGGAATTGTTTTCTTAAGTTTTATTCCTATCAATCAAATAATAATAACTTCTGGAAGACTTTGAGACCATATATGTATTGTCACGACATTTATAAAAAAAAAAAGTATTATACCCAGAGTATTCATTGCAAAAATCCAGATTATTCTTTGGATGTATATAGAAAATCGGGTGTTGTTTTTTAC